AAAACCCAAAAATCCCCAAAAAATCCAAAAATCCGCTAATTTTTGGTTAATTTTTGTCTTTTTTCGTTATTTTCCGTTAATTAACGGAAAATTAACGGAAATTAACCTCTGTCCGCTATTAACGGATCCGGGTGGCCACCTCTAATGGCCACAAGGAGGGCGCTATTGGGTCAACTTTGTTTTAATGCATTTAATTGTAGTTTTAATAAATACGGGCTCATGTAATGACCTGTTGGCACTGTGGCGGTGCCTGGCGATGCTGTCAAGTGGCAGTGCACCAGCGCGGCAGCGTGGTAGTGTGGAAGCATAGAGGTGTGGCAGCGTGGCAGGGTGGCAGCGTGGTGGGGTGGTAGCGCGGTAGCGTGGCGGTGTGACAGCGTGGCAGGGTGGCAGCGTGGCGGAGTGGCAGCATAGCGGCATGGTGGCAGGGCAACGTGGTGGTGCAGCAGCGTGGCGGTGCTGTTGTGATTATTGCAGGCGAGCGATGTGACAACGTGCCAGGGTGGCAGTGTGGTGGGGTGGCAGCATGGCAGTGTGGCGGTCTGGCAATGTGGCGATGTGGCGGCGCAACAACGTGGTGGCGCAGCAGCGTGACGGCGTTGTTGTGATCATCGTAGGTGAGCGATGGCTGCACAATTGGTGTGCCTAGACTACTAAATTAGTGCAGGGGTCAGTGGCATTCATAGTTGCCTTGGCTGCAATGTCCCTATACATGCATGGTGCGGATCCAGCTCATGTGGCAAGGATTTGCAATGGGGAGGTTGTTGTTTGAGGCGCTATTGCACAAACTGTCAGCCAGTGCGAGTATCAAAGCGCCCAGTGCGGAGATCTGCTGTGATGCCCAAGTAACCAATGAAGAGCTTTTTTGATGACGATGAGGGCGACTATGATGATGGAAGCCCCTCTGACCCGGATTTCATGGAAGATAGAACTTCTAACAGTGATGGGGATTTTGGCAGCGACATGGAGATAGATTTGTTTGATGATGACGAGAGAGAAAGGCCAGGAGCTGGAGCACATGAACATGGTGGATTGCATTCAGATGTCTCTACAAATGCAACGATGGTTGCTGTCCCTGATGCAGTTCTAGCTGGTGGAAGTCTTGGTATCAAGATTTGCAAAAACAAGTGCAGGCACATGCATCACAAAGGGTCAGATTGATTTTGGAGAAGAAAGTTGAAGTGTATCAGGCTGCGCTCAAATTCGAAGGCCAGGGCAGTAAGGCCAAACTTGCAGAAATGTTTAATATTTCCGTGACGTGCTTGAAGAATATCAATAGGCAAGGTCCTATATTGGCTAAAAAGCTAGAACAAAGCAACGCCAGAAGCACCAGCAAGGCATTCAAAAAAATTTCTTTGCCTGATATTTGAGAGTGGGGTGATATAGTACTTTGAGCTTGCTCGAAAGCATGGGATGCCAGTGACAAGGAGGTCGCTCAGGTCCATGGGCGTTGCAATGAAGGAAAAACTTCTTGCTGTGGGTGGGCTGGAAGAACATGCACGTGTGGCATTGGAGACTTTTTCTGCATCAGATAAATGAGCTCGGAATGTGATCAAGCAAAATGGACTTCAGAGCATCAGGTTGCATGGTGAAGCTGGCTCTGTTAACCATGGTGATATTGTACTCCAGATGAATGAAATGCGTGCAAAACTCAGTGATTATGAGCCAGCCCATATCTTCAATATGGATGAAACAACCTTAATCTACAAGCTGATGCCACGTTGTGCATACATCACCAGTGCGGAAGGGCGCAAGACTACACGTGGCACAAAAAAAATGCGCAACAACGATCGTTTGATAGTGATGTTGTGCGCCAACGCTGATGGGTCTATCAAAGTCCCCATCGCCATTATCGGGGCAGCTGTCAACCCTAGGTGCTTTCGCTTGATGCCATGTCCAGTTTACTACATGCATCCAAAAAAGGCATGGAGTGACAAAAGGACCTATTAAGAATGGTTTCGGAAGGTGTTTGTCCCTTGTGTGACAACTCAACTTCCCTCCACAGCAAGAATTGCTTTGATTGTGGACAATTTCAGTGCGCATGATGATGACACAATGTTCCACCCAAGCTGCAAGGTGGATGTCATGGCTTTGCCGTCAAATTGCACCTCAGTGCACCAGCCAATGGATGCTAGAGTTATTCGGGCTTTCAAAGCACATTATCACCAAAATTTGCTGTCAAGAGTCTTGGAGGTGCTGCCGCACAAGTTGGAATTGAGGCAAGCAAAGTCAGGAATCGCCAAAGGGTTGAAGGGCATTGTTGAAGAGTATGATGCCCATGTACTTGATGCTGCTCACTTTGTGAAAAGTGCATGGGAAAACATCACAACACAATGCACTGCACGATGCTGATTGAAAGCTGATATTCTTCCAAGGCCCATGGCGGCAGAAATACGGAATTTGTGTGCCAAGACACATGGGCAAGGTACCTTGGGAAGTGAAATTGATGATTGTGCCCTCATCATTGATGGTATGCGAGCCATGGCTGTGTCAACCATGAATCAAGAGATTGGGGAAGAAGACAGGGATTCCGTGAAGGTTCTTCAAGTTACTGATGGTGTGGAAGCATGGGTGTCCATTGAGGATAATGAGGACGTATCAAAAGCGGTGGCTGAAGATGCTTTTCATGAGTTGAAAGAGGAGTTGACAGTCACAGAAAAAACAACTGAAGAGAGCGATGAGATAGCTCTGGAAGATATGGAAGACACAAATGATGCACACCATGAAGCATGAGATGGGCGATTTCAATTGCCTACATACCCAGAAATAGCGAGTCATTTTGTTGTCCTCGAAGATCTTGCTACCAAAGCAGGTTTGGATGTGGCAGCAGGTTTTTTGTACAAGGCCAAGCAGGAGTTTCTTAAGAACACAAGTGCTAAGAAGAAGATGCAAACGCAGTTGAACGATTTCTTCAAACCTTCAGAGGACCATGCGTAGAGAGCTTGTATTTTGGTCTGTGAGATGTTTGTTGAACTATAGCCAGAAGTTGCTTTTGCGTAGTTTTCTATACTTATTGTTGATCAAGTGATTTTTTGTTGGGCACCTAGAGCACTCTGATCATAGCGTGTAACGAATCTTGTGGTGCATTGCAAAGTTGAAATCTCACCATATATTGTATGATGGGCATGGCTATGTAGCACCGTCTGTTTGTTCATGGATGACCACACATGTACACAATGGTGGGACGACTATGCATCTGAGTGCTTGCATTATTGAAAGTAGCGCATGACACAATGAACGAGCTTCACCATTCCCCACCCATGCGGCAGGTCGCCTAGAGCCAGGGACTCCCCCGTGTGCAAGTTGCATGGCTTAGAGTAGTAGGCAACATGGCCGAATGCCAACGGTCAATAATGGTTGTGCGGCGCTTAAGAACTGGGCATGAAAGTCACAACAAAAAGGCAGGAGTGGGAGGCCAAACGTGGCCTCACACTCTCGCATTGCTACTCCCCCTTGGCGCTGAATGGTACCACACGCAGTTGCCTTGATTGGCACCCATGAGTGCCATCAATCGGCCTTGACTTGGACATCAGGTGCCGCCGCCTACCAATCTTGAGAGGCAAGGGCACGGCTTGCACATAATGCTCGTTTGCGATGATGGCCTCTATCGGCCCTAGACTCTGCGGCAATTTGCACATTAAAAAGTGGACACCGGGGCATTGGGCACCCCTCCCTATCCCTCCGTTCTACTGGCCGCAAGGAGCCCAAGCAGGCAGTGCCCACTTCGTCGTGTACAAATGAAAATCCGCCACGGAACACACAGCTCCCCTGACCTCCTGGGAAGGCCTTGGGCCCGGGCCCCACAACGGACACACTAGATGTGCCGTCCGCCCATCCATGATATGCCAAGTTAGCAGAAACGGACAACCACCGCACTATCCATCCACCGGGCACCTCTTTTGGGTGTGTTTGGTTGTCCGCAATAGTAGCTTGAGACCCCACTGCTCAGCGAAGTTGTATAAAGTACTACAGAAATGGTGACAAGCCCAAAAGGGGGGCGCTATTGGGGGCCGGGGGCGCTATTAGGGGGGCGCTATATGGGGACCCCTACTGTACCAGAAAGCGTGCATGGAATGGCCCGGATTGGGGCCGGTCATTATGACTTGGAACAATCTCGAACAGTGACGAAAGAAGAAATCTGCGCGACAAATAGACCCATCTCGGACGGAAAAAGCTTGTGCGCAGCCCCGGGCGTTGCCAGGGTCCTGCGGTGCCAGGCCGATGGCCCTGTTGCGCATTGTTCGCCCGAACGTGTGCTGCCCACGGTGGAGCGCCCGGACGCGGAATGCTGCCGGGGCGCTCGCCTATCCTAGGCCCATTTTTCTGTCCCGCCCATCGGATCATGCGCTGAGGGGAGGCGGGTGCAGGGGCGTTGGCCCCCCCACACGGTGCTTCGCCAGTCGTCGCGATGATCGCAATCGGGAGGAGAAGACGTGGGGGGAGATCGCGGAGGAGGCCGCGGACGTTGCCAGGTGGGTCGGCGGGTCGAGAGATGACCGTCTGGTCCGGCGCGGGCGCCAGTGGGCCGTTGGGCCCGACAATTTGGGTCACGGCGAAGTGGCGTGCGGTGCAGATCGCAGAGCCGCGAGGGTTCAGGACGGCTCGCGATTCTTGCTGCGGAGATTTCAAACGCAGGCGCGCTCTGCATCTCGGTCATTTTTTCGCTTCCTCGTTCTTCTGGCCACCTCCGTTCGCCAGCGAATGCTGTGGTGGAATGGGCCATTCCGACGCGGGCCATTCGGCAAGGCAATTGATGGTGAGCCTGAGAAAACCCCCAACAGAGGCTCTTTTCTGTGGCCTCGCCGTTTTACATTCTTTTCAGCGTGCCGAAATGTGTTTCTTGCAGAATGTCCATGGGATTATGCAATTGTGGAGCAGCAGGGATTGCTAAGTTATCACCAGTGCACGCCCAGGGAGACGTGCAGGATAACCGGCGGCTTGAGAAATTCTGGCATCTCTGTCCAGATGGCCTAAATATGGACGCGCCGTTTTGTGCTTAGGTCTGCCGTTGGGAAGGTGCTGGACACTGGCAAGGCGGCTTTGAATGCTGTCAGGAAGAAGCGAGATGAAGCACCAACGAAATCGGAAACAAGGGAACAGAGAGGTGACGTGTACAGGAGACCAGGTATGCAGTGCGCGTTTCTGCAACAGGCTGGAGGTGTAGTCTGGCACGTGGCAACTGCTATCAATGACAAAATCGTGCCTGGGTCCAGGAAACATCTCAGACTGGCCCCACCAGAAGTTTAAAACATAAGAAAATTGGCGGCACTGCAGCCAAATCGGAATTTTGTGGCAGGAAAGACATCACATGAGCTTTGTTCATGTGCATGCTGGGCATGTCCCATTCCTGTGTACTCTGGCATGTGTACAACACAGGGATTTTATGGAGAATTTTCCTTGTTTCGCGTGCTCTCTTGCTGTGCGCATGGTGACCATCGCTTTCTTTTATGTTGAAAGGTGGAGGCTTGTTTGAAGGACTGGTTGGGAGGGCTGTGGGTGGATTGTTGGGAGGCGCACTAGGGGCTGTGAGGGACCAGGCAAGTGGATTAATGATGGGGTTTAAGGACCCAGCTTTCCAGGATTCCATTTTTGGGGGCTGTCCATCCTGCAGTTTTTTCTTGCGCAGTTGTGATCCAGTATGATCTGTGAGGCAAAGTACAGCAAGCCATATCAATAATAATCCTCCTGGGTGCCGATCTTCAGGAATCTGATTTTTGTGCATGTGTACATAGCTTCTTGTAACTTGTGCTCTGAACCATACTCTGATGCAAAGAATATTGATTGCATTGCCAAAACCCCGCTGCGCTTGAATGCCTGTGGGTGATAGCAAGTTCAATCGTGGAGTCTCTGGGAAGTTGTCCAGGCGATGCTTCATCCCCAAAGATCGAGATATCACTCGAGCCTTTGTTGCCTGACAGTATGCAGAGTAGTGCGACCGATGCCTGGAAGGGCAAATGCCTCCTGAATGACAGCATACACGTTCGATCGCCCCAGCTGGGACATATTGTCTTGAGTATGATGCTGTGGTGTGCAGATTCAAGAGAGCCAGAAAGAGGCAAGGTCCGTTTATCAAACAGCTTCATCACAAGTTATGAACAACGAAGAAATAAGGCGGAGGTGCGATTCGATCAAGGCCACACTTGGTCCAGCTTTGAATCTAGTGCATACACGATAACTTATTGTCAGTCCAATACCCAGAGTCCAGACAGGTCACTGGCAGCACCCTCACATGCCCTGTTAGCCTGTCAATTCGTGGGAGCCTCCCACTTTTGTGTTTCTCAGCCCATTTTAGTTTGGGCTTGTGTTTGCCTGCCTTCACCCGGAACTGTGTGGGCTGTGCTGGCCATGGCCAGTAACAATGGGTGGTGATTCTGGTGTGGCAAAGTTGAGGGGTGGAGAGCTGCAAAGATTGTGCAAGTGACTGGCCGTACATGCACCCCATTCCCTGCTGCTGCCCCACTGCTCCCCCCACCACCAAATCCTGAGGAATTTTCCTTTCGCAAGCATCCTGGTAATGCAGGTTGTGTGGTGCAGCGAAAAGTGCACAAGGAGCAAATGCATTTAGGCTGTAAAGCACGTTGCAGCGGGGAGCTGGCCCTTGCGTTATCCTTTCGGGGCGATTTGGCAGTGTCAGTCACTCACTGGTCCTCTCTGCTGCCGTTTCATGTTTCAGAATCTGGAATGCCTGGAACAAGGCTTAGGATAATGCACCACATGTATGGGATGCTGCCGCTTCCATCACCACGTCCCAAGAACTGGATTGTCAAGTGCTATCTACAAATGTCATCCGCAAAATGTAAAAGACAAGCACATTCAGTCTGCAGCTAATGAGTATCTGGCCACAAAATGCTTGGGAGCAGCGCTCCTTGCCCCTAATGTGACTTTCACAGGTGACTTTTACACTTCCACTTACATTTGGTGCGACCTGGCGAGTATTTTCTTGTTTGTACCCATCCTTTCTCCATGTCTATATGGTGGGGCGTACTCTGTTGACTCAATAGTATGTCCTTTTGGAATGAGGGCTGAAGGCCCCAGTGCATGACAGATTCTCTTGGCGACACTGATTCAGGTTGGGAGATGTTCAATGCGGAGCGCCATACTCGCAGCAGTCGTCCTCGTCATCGATCAATGGCGTTGTTACAAAGAGAACAGTGCTTGCCTTCCCTGCCACGGGTCGGACAGGAACAGCAGATATTCGTGCAGAAGCAGTGGAGGGCAGGAGTGGGATACAGAAATTGACAATCACAGTGAGTTTGTTGGGCCACCGCACAGCGCTTCATTTCAGTGGCCAGCCTGTGCCATAGGGCCATTCCAGCTGTGGATAGCTCATGTCTTATATTGTTTGCAGCAAGCACGGACAACTGCCCACTGTAACTGTAAAAGCATAAAAGCGAACATACTTGCTTGCTGCACAAAGGGAACACCATGTGCAAGAAGCACGGGCTCGCACGTATTGCAGTTCCTCTTGTTTACACAGAACCACGAGCCCTGACACACACGGACCGCAATTTCACCGCATTTAATGAACAGCAATTAGAACAACCTCCACAAATACGAGTTGAAACGTTTGGGATGTACCTCAGCCGACTGCATGGTATCTGCGGCTGATGAATTCATGGCATCAGTATGTGTGATGGGGCCGCCCAGGATAATTGCCGGGAACAATTGGCTGCCCACGAAGCTTTACGAAATTAAAGGAACAGGCGGTGAAAAGCAGTCATTGGAACTGAAGACTGCTGACTCTTTGAGCTGCATGGAACAGGCTCGAATGCCCGATGGACGGAGGATCCGCGTCGACGATACTGGCTCAGGCCCAGGCCCAGGCCGAACCATTGATGTTGAATGGAAAGACGTGTGAGGTCTGTGGAGGGCAGAAGGGGCTCCAATACCTGTTGAATTTGGTAATCGTAGAACGCACATGTTTGCAGCTCTACAACAAGGTGGAGCCACAATTCTGACCCAAGACTGCAGCATTGCAGAGCATGGAACGTTGGGCTTGCTGGGCTGGGAAACTCGGCGGCTTGATGGCCTGTGGTGAGCAAATGGCGACTGAATGCATGCACCGCGCTTTCCAACTCAAGGGCACCTGGAGAATTGGATTTGAGGGCTGGAAAGCCAGCGGTAACCCATGCTGGGCGGTGCTCGCTCGATAAGAGAAGACAGGGCATTTTCAAGAGAAGCTCACATGTGTGTCTGCAATCAGTTGTTGATCGCCTTGAGCTTTGACGGCATCGGCGCTTGTGTATCTGCATATTCCGTAGTTGGGCTTGCTTAAGTTCATGCTGAGGACAATGGCTGCTTCCTTGCTCATCTGGCTTCGGAATGGGTCACGGGGCTCTGTGCTGTGGTGGATTCGGGAATGGTGCTGGTGGAACAGGGATGCAGCGAAACATGGGTGTATTTTGCATGGTGATTTTTGGGATCATTGCACAACGGGTCGGTGACCTTTCAACAGGTTTTTCAGGCACAACTGGGGATGATCAGGGACTACCCATAAATGATTTCGTGATTTTTGTCTCCCTCTCCCTCCATGCTAGCGTTCATGGGTGTAAGCCTGTTCGCTTGTGGAATGTCGAGGCGTCGCTACCGGGCTTCCCAAGAGCTCTGTTTGTTCATTTTGCCAGCATGCGATGTAGTTGTTGAGAAGCGTTCGGCAGACTTTTCGGCGCTTGAGCAGATGACGGCATGCCGCCGATTTCCTGCTGGGATGCGTCCTGTCACCCCCAGTGACAATAAAGCTTTGAAAAAAGGACGATTGTGATTGTGTTCAGAGGGCAAATGATGATATTGTGTGGTTTTGCACGTGGTTTCCGTAGTTTCAAGTGCAGCTTTAAAGCTTTGATAAATTTATGAAAACAGCGATACCCAGCTCATTGAGCTTCGACTTTGCTTTGATGGACGTACCCTGTCTCCTTCATCCTGTCAGCTGCGCATTACCAAGCCACCTCATGTACTCAGACTTGTTATTTACGGTAAACACAAATCGTATTTACGATGCAACCTCTGCTGAAACCGCCATCTAAAACCTGTAGGCTGGACACAATTAGAGTCAACAACAGCCTTGCGACTTGCATGACAAAGGCGGCACCAGCGCAGCCAATTTCTTGGATGCCAGCCACCATCGTTTTGGGCGTACATTTAATTTGATGCAGCTGAGGCATTCTTTTTGTCTCAGGCCGGTCACGCCCATATCAGTTGATTTAATGAGAATGGCGTGCGGGCCGTGCAGTTTGACGTGGTAGGAGTCTTTCCTTTTCGAGATTGACGGGATCCATAGGATCCATGGATGCATCAGAAAAGGGGAACAGATTCTTGCATTTTCAGCGGCTGGTGGTGTGAACGTTTCGCTTCCTGGCTTTGTGCCTGGGGTGGTGGTAGTGACGGACTTGCCATGCGTGTTGACTCTCCACACGGTCCCAAATCTGTGGCATAAGTGCTGGTTATGGAGTCCGCGGAGTAGGCTAGTTTACGGGAGGCCCGAAGGCGGGCGGGAGAAATTGATTGGCTCTCAATGGCTCGCCTACTGGCAGGGGCGACGGGACGCCCATGGGACACATTCACCTCGAATGTACATGCCACTCTGGGGGGCGAGCGTGCTACCCGTGGTTCCTGGCTGGGCTGTGGGGCACTTTGGGGGCAGCGCGCGCGCGCCAGCTTTACTTCGTTTTCAGCTATCCTCCCACTCCTTACGGGATTGCATTGGATGGGGATTTGATCATTGGGAGTACGCTTCGTCATGGTGTGACAGGGACCGGACAGGCATCTGCTTTCTTAACGAATGAGATATTTCGGGAACACCCTCTTGGCTGGTTGTAATATGTACTATCATCGCACGAGTGAATGTGTCTGGGCGGGAAGCCGCAGGTAGCCGGACGTAACGCTGTTGTAACCGGAACTGATCGATTATTATTAATGCTGGGACCTAGCGTTAATAATAATCCCAGCGGCTGGGTGCATAAAGAGGTGATGAGGCGTTAGGAATTGCATTCAGGACATTGATGAACGGACTGGATGTGAGGGACAGAACTCCTGTTGTGCCTTCGCTCCGCCGTAAACCGCTGCCGAGGACTCGAGCCTGGCCAGTCAGGGTTCGCCACCCGCCATCCTGCCTGCATTCGCCAACGCCTCGCTCATCTGCACTATGACTCGCAGCTGACACACCAATGCTGACGTCACCGAGCAGCGCTGTGAGCAGACCTTCAAGGGAGGGCCACCCCAGGGTTTCTGTCAGCGGCCGTGCGTCCCCAGGAGGCAGTGGGGCGCAGCGAGGTGTAGTCGGAGGGCGGCGCCAACGAGCGGCCGAGTCCAAGGCGTTGACGAAAGCCCCAAGCGCTGTGTCGGTAGTGTGATTGCATTGGCTGGCAATCAGGCGGAGTGACCCTGGTGGCGGTGGGTGCGCAACTGGAGGGATGGTCGCGGCTGTCAGACAGGAACCCAACGCGGCGTGGAACAAGGCGGCGGAGGCCAGCGCGGACGGAGGGACCCCGGAGGCGGTGAACGAGAGGATTCGGAAGCTGGAATGGGAGGCGCAGGTGCGGCGGTCGCTGATTTGCCTTTGCCGGGCTGGCGTGCCGCTGTCGTCGGCCATCTGGCGAGGCTCGGGTCTGGAGATTGGTTCGCGGATGGATCGGCCCGCGGGGCGCCCGTCTGGCCGATGCTCGGATCTTGGCTCAGGGGGCGGGGGATTTAATCCGATTGCGCGGCGCCCGTTCCGGCATCCACGCGCCCTGCTGCGATCAGTTGGGCGAATTGCCGATCGCAAAGAGTGCGGGACATGTGGCCGCGCGATGGGCGCATTTGGGGCGCGCAGCAACCGCGATGCGACTGTGGCGGCCCGGCGGGATCGCCAAACTCGGGGGATCGTTCGCCGTCACCGTCGCACGTTCGGGGAAGGGCGCAACGTGGTGCCGATCGGTGCGCGTCACACTGGGAGGCTGACCAGGAACTGATTAGCCAAATTCGCAGCTTTTCGCCGCGATTGTCGTCGCGGTTGCTTTCAGGGCAATCGGATGCCGCGCCTGGGGGTCGCCGTGGCTGTCCTGGCGTCACATCCGGGACTTGCGGCAATCGATTGGCGGGCGACGTGCAAAGCAAGCCTGGCATTCGCCACCCTCTCCCTGGGGCAATCCCTGGCAACCCTCACGGGCCACTTCATCCAGTCTCGTCCAGTGGCAGTGGGCCTTGCTCAAACCCTCGCAGTCTCAAGCGGATCGTGTGCACATCTATCCATCCGGGCAAGGACTGCATCAGGGAAGGGCACGGTGTTCGCTGCGCCCTTTCGCAGCAGCTGTCAATGTCCCTGTGCTCATCCATGGCCACGTGGATTGCGTGGGTGCCCGTCTGGGTACCCCGGGCACTGCGCTTTGCGGCATTGAGTCAACGAGCCTCGGCTGATTGCTGCCCCGCAGTGTGCAAAGAGGGCGTACGACAGGCAGTACGCCCTGCACAAGGAGCAGGTGGAAGTGGACGCCAAGCTGCGAGAGGAGGTGCGTGACCTGGAGATGGTGACGGAGAAGCTTGAGGCCCGGCGGTCGCGGCAGCTGGGCGAGCAGCACAAGATGGCAGCGGAGGAGTTGAAGGCATGGAGGGCGAAGTTTGATGAACAGAAGGCCACGGGACAGATGTGGATATCCACCGGGAGGACGCAGCTGACGGAAATACTCAACACACTGGAGGTGGGTGCCCCTTTCCAGTCTTGGTTTTCGGAATGGGTGCTGCGAGGGGGCGCCTGTGCCTTCTCTCGTGGCTGTAAGTCCCCAAGGACGGCAGTTTGTCAGAGAACAGTGCAGGGCAATGCCATTCGGCTACTTGGCGATGCGGGACAGTGTTCGCAAGCGATGGCCACCTAGCTGTTGCCTTGGTTCTCTTGCGGGTTTGCAGAGCAACCTTTAACCAAGGATAGCCACCCAACTGGGTGGGAATGCTGGAGAAGCGCTGAGCCATTGTACATGCACCGCTGCAGATGGAACGCATTGCTGTAGCAGAGAGGCGAAGGGTGGCCGAGGCAAAGCTGGCAGAGTTGGAGTGCTCCACAGTACCACCCTCCCTGAAGGTAATTCCGGTGGAGGATGCCAAAGTGCCCGGCCCGCTGCGGCACTCCCCTGCCAATTGGACGGCCCAACCTGCGTAAAAAACTGCCACCACAGTGTCTTTCATTGTGTGTTGTGATACCTTTGTCAAAACATCTTGTATCGATTGTCTTCAGGTTGACAGAATGGTGTCAAGTGCACAAAGAGAGGTTTGGCATGGTTGAATGAGGGTGTCAAACCCAGGCAAACAGCGCACTACTCTAGTAGGTGCATTCTAGTGGGGATTGGCATTGCCCTTCCGTCACATCAGCAAAACATGTGACAACTGTTCCTGTGCTTCCAACTAGCCGATTCAAATGGGTGCTGCCATAATGCCTTTCCTGCAGGAGGACGTGGATCGGCTCAAGGAACTGTCCTCGACATTGGAGGCTGAGGTCCCTGCAAAGAAGGTCAAGGCGAAGCAAATGAGGGCCTGCGTGGAGCAGATGACTGCCAGATTGTCGAGGAAGAAGAGACTGCTCAAGCATGTATTGGCACATGTGAAGAAAATGAAGGCACAAGAAAAGGTGAGGGAATGGTATGAATGAAGGACAAGATATGTGCATTGCAGCTTGCGAAAAATGACATATTGGCCATGGCACGTGCCTCTGCTGTGTTCACATCATCAGAAAACCTCAATTGTCTCAGTGGTGTACAAGGACCTCGCGATTGAACACATCTTCGTCTTGATTTGCATCTGTGTGATTTTGGAGCTCCACATTCTTATCGCCCCCCTCCTCCCTGGCTTGTAGCTTGCTGGCAGGTCTGCAAGCACGCCCAAGGAAACGTGGGTGGGTCCCACGCCCCCCTTTTATATTGACAGGGGCCAGCCTGGTGAGCCCAACCAAGGTCTTGTGTATGGCCAAGTGACGATTGCCGACGGCGAAAGTGGCGAACCCCACACAGAGAAGGTCCTCAAGAGGCCAGGTGTCGTGCCCATACTGTACTACTGCGATGGTATGCCACTGATGTCGGCTGGGGGTGGGACACCCCCCATCAAGCCCTATCTTCTGCACACAATTCGGGAGGAGAGTGGTGCTGCGGACGGTGGAGGAGCAGCTGAGAGCCCGAGAACAGCATGTGAGGACGCGGTCGAGAAGGACGGTGCGGAGCTGAAGGAAAACATACAGCTGGAGTGAGTGAACGGTGGTTGGGATGTTGGGGACATAGATGTGCATATGGACAGCCCCGCTGGCAAGGCTGCTGTTGTGTCCAGCAGGGACACCAACAGGGGATAAATCTGTGTATTGGGCAGCTCCTCAGGCAGTTTTGCCGCAATATTTTCGCCTTGCCATCGCCACCATGGCTCTGTTCACCGCTCCTGGACAGTCACTGGTTTTCCAGCATAGTTCCACCGTGGTAGAAGTCGATGTGCCTGTGGCTCATTGATCTGGCTTCATAACCTTTCAAGCCCAATGTGCATGACATGATGAGACTCTTGCGTTGCTCCAAGCAGAAGCCAGAAATGTCAACCCTTCTCAGCCAAGTCATCGTTTGCGTTCCTCTTGTGCTTCAGGTCTCTGCCCTGCCCCTCCACCGGGGGCGCCGTGCGGTCGCCATCAACTCCCAGATGCACTATTTCCAGCGAGGCAAGGGTGGCAGCAACAGCCAAAAGGATGCAATCGCTGAAGACAGGCGATGCGGGCGAACCTTCGAAAGTAGGGATTGATTTTTTCAGGTTGCTTCCGAGTTTGTGTAGACATGAAGATTGTGACCGCCAGTGGAAATCCTGATTGACAATGTTTCCCAACATTAACTGTAATAATGTGTCCCTGTCGGGCAGCATGAATGGGTGCCTTTCTGATCGTGACCAGGCAGTGAAGCATCAGCGTCCCAGTGAACCAGGTCTTCTGCACTTATGCAACAAAGGAGCATATGCAGTGTTAGTATGTTTGCAACACTCACGTGCGATGCAAGTCCCCTGTCATGGCCATGGCGCCTGTTTGCTTTGCATGCACTGACTTGACGGTGTGCTTAGGCGAGACCCGACGCCAAAGATAGTGTGCCAAAAAGGAGCAAGAGAACGGGAAGTGGTGGAAAGGTGTTTTGGACAGATTATCGTGCTTGGCGCCAAGAAAATGAGTGCAAACCGTACCTGCAGGAGCAGAAGAAACTGAAAGAGGTAGGGCAGCCGTCCACAAGTTCGTCTTCTCCGATATCGCAGTGATTGTGGTAAATGAAATAGATGTGGGTGTGTACAGCTGTCCATACAGTCCCATCAATGTCATGCCTGCTGTCTGTTCAGTTTGCAGCTGATGAACCGGAAGCCCCACTGCTAACATCTGTGTCGCCCGTTCAGATGTCCAGACGCGAACAGAAAGAAAGGAAGGAGGCGGAGGAAGACAGGAAGTGGAGAGAGTGGAGGAAGGAGCATCAGTTCACGGTGAGGCCTAGCAGGGGAAATGCGGATGGTCAGACCTGCAGCTATTTTATGCTATTCAGCAATTCAGCAATTCTGGTAGTCCCAATTTTCCAAGGTGGGCATCGTCAACCGTTTCGTGCGCACTGTCATTTAATGCGCAGAACTTTGTGTGAGCATGCGTTCCAAGAGTTTGCAAATGTACTGTTTGAAACAGCAGGAATCGACACAATGACTGTTTCGCTTGTAATTCATGAGGACAGACAATGAGAGGCATCGCCGTCATCACCACATTCCATGGCGCTCGCCTGCGCAACATTGAGATGTTCCTCACAGTACATTGCCAGTGACTGACTGATTTGTGTCAACAACTCGATCAAATATGCTCACTCCCAGATGGCTGATTCAAGGTGTCCCTTCATTGTGCAGGCGCAGCCAATGCCCCAATTCAAGACGCCTCTCCGGGAGCGCCACAGCAACAAGCACCCCACTGTGCCTGTGGCACCCAAGCTCAAAGCCGACGAGAGGGCAAGGACGCGAAAATACCCAACCCAGGAGGCCAACGCAGTTTACACAAAGCTGAAGAAACAGTACATAGCCAGGGCGAGGAACAACGGGCCGAAGGTGAGGGCTTGAGCGGCTGCTTCCCAAGCTGGGAGTTACCGAGCACAAGGGACTGTGTGTGCTGCCGTGTGTCACGTGAGCGCCGTCGCTGTGCAGCAATGGCTGAATGTTCCGCGTTTAGGATGATATGTTTGGAGTGGTGGGCGCATGCGCTCAAGCTGCAAAGATTGTTGGTAAGGCAGGAATTCAGGCATGAAATGCCACGGGCAATTCATGGCAGATGGTTGATAAGAGTTCATGGGGGAACAAGAGGCGCGGAGAAGGTGTGCGCAACAAGAAGCGGTGCAAGTGGTGTTCGCCACTACATGCGGGTAGAAGGTGGCAGAATGTGGCCAACGCCACATGTTTGAATCCAAAATATGTTTTATACCTTTTATCATTGTCCAGTAGGCAATAAATATGATATGCGTTCTTAAGACAGAACGTTGTTTGCTTGAGGTGCCCATGCATGAGGCATGGGTGTACAAGAGACGTGGGATGGACGTAGTCATGTTGTATGATGTACGTAATCAAAATGTATGATGGAAGGTGTATGATTGGTGTCGGCGGGAAGTGATTAGACGTGGCGTAGGGGCGTCGAATGCATGAACAGCGGGTGGACAGGATGATGGGGGGAACCTACAGCTGCAACGAAGGCGCTTAGAATGTGAATCTGACAATGGAACACCCATGGATTTGTAAGGCGTGAGGACAGAACTTACCTCAAGCCATGGTCAATGCATCGCTTGCCCTGGAGGGACTGCCGTCCGCTGTGCTGCCCTTCCCCTTCGAGGAAGACTTTGACAGAAAGACTGGAAGAGTTGTCGATGCCTAGATCCAAAGCAAAAGTACGGACACACCACTGTAGAAAATGGCACCAACATGAGGTTGGGAGAACGCGATCCGGTCTCGTTCAACCTTGTCTAAACGCCAAACACGGAATCTGGTCCCAATTTGTCGCAGTTATAACCTGCGCGAAATTGACACTATTTGCCTGTGCACCGCCGTCGACGATGATGGAAACTGCCCTTCACAGTGCACCGGGCGGTAGCGTTTCACGACCCTGGTGCGTCCCAGACCGCCACCCGTTACAGCCTCCCGTGTGCCTCGCACACCGGAGGAAAATGGACCGCTAAAAAAACAGATTGAAGTTTTGAACTTGCACGATTTTGATCCCATTGGGTTCACGCGGCGTCCATCAGTGACGGACGCTTCGGAACAAGCAAACACGTGTTGAACACAATGGGGGGAGATCGAAAACCTGTGAATCGGGCTACTTCTCGCCAGTGGCATATGCGGCTCTCAGCATCTACGGCTCCTCTTGCCGCGCTCCAGTCGTGGTGATTGTGTACCGCTCCATCACATCCGTGTCCGAGTCCATGTCGCTCCCGCTCGACGAAAAGGGGCTGCACCCGGCCATGCCGGAATCGACTTCGTCACACTCAGTCCACCCATGAAGCCGCCCGCAGGCCTCCCCTGCTGGTGGCCCCCCGCTCTCATCCCCGACAGCTGTGCTGAAATCAAAACGGGCGTGAACGCTCGGTGGCTCCCCTGGGCGGTCTTCCCCGCCGGGCTCGACAGTCGGCACGCCGTGGCCGCGCGGTTCCGTTTCGAGCCGACACAGTCCGACACTGTCGGGGGAATTCCGACACGCGTCGATCCCGGCGTCGAGTGTGGTTGCTCTTTCGGTGGAGGGCGCGGCTGCGCTCGCCTCCTGGGCCCTTCCAACCTCGAGGGCCATGTCCCAAAGGCGCGAGTAGCTGACGCTCGTGCACACGTGCATCGGGGTGAAGGGCCCGGGGGCCTGCTGCAGCTTCTCCTGCGTGCGCCTGGAGCACTTTGTGATGCGGTGGCGGCGCACGGGGCGACTCGACCGCTTGAAATTCTGCACCTCTTCGTGCACCTGCTGAAGCTTCTGCTGCTGACGTCGCGGGGAACAAGTAGTCGGGTCGGATGGACCTGTTTGGGATGCCACGCCTTCCTGTCCTGCACCGTCTCCCACCGGGTGCCCTTCAGCAACCGCATCGATATGCTCTTTTCTGCCGCCCATGGCCGGGCACATGTCACCAGCCTCTCCCGGGACGGCCTCCTCAGTCCTCCCGCACGGATTCAATAATTCATTTGCACCTGTCTGCTGACAAGCAGCTTCGGCGAAGTCTCTGGGCTTGTAATCGTCCAAAGCCGACCGATCGCTACTTTCCTGATCGTTAACTGCTACCTGAAACTGCTTCGTTGGCTCTCTGCATGTCACTGGGCCGCAGTCCTGCGAGACGGGTCGCTGAGCCACATGAATGCCGGAACACGAAGCGTCGGCGATGGGATGGCCTGCGCAGCCGGGGCGACGTCCCCTTGGAATCGACACCTCCACTTGAATTTCCTCCAGTGGAGGCGCATGCTCACAATCGGCATCTCTTGTCTCCTGGACGGGCACCACATCTTCGACTTCCTCCACCGAAGGGACGCGGCTGCTACCAGGGTTCCCTTCCGCAAGGCCTGGCGCATCTGCTTCAATTTTCTCCGGAGGAAGGGCGCGGCTGCAATGGGTAGTTGCGCATGCCTCTTCTATCGCAGCTCCAGTGTATGTTCTCTCGTTGGTTTTTCCATTTGTGTCTAGCCCACCGTGCCGTCCGTTTTGCTCACCATGTGCCTTCTCCTCGCGAGGGAAACCAAGTTGATGAGCGGGGTTGGTATTTTCGCCGTCACTGTCACCTTCATCTGTGGACGCATTGCGTCGACAATCATGCGTGAATGAGATGCATTTGGTGGATTGGGCGTGTAGATAAGGAATGCTCTATTCGCTATTGCACAACCTGGATACTGGCTTCGGGTTGTATTCGATTCCAAGCTACATGAGAATGGCACCTCCACTCGTTCCAATGCGTGCGTTTCAGCTCTAGGATTTTTTAGGTGTGAAAAACCATTCAAAGAAATTGCTTTATATGTTCACAGTTCCCCTGCTTCTCGGGTTGGAAAGTATTCAAGAACACCCACGTCACATGTAGCCATCAGTCAATGCCAAACATCCTTGCCTGAGAGGAATCATGGGATTGCTTCTCGCCAACTGTTGGAATTAAATTGGGAGCAGTCTGTTTAATTATGAGACAAATCAGTGAAAAGATGCGAGTATTCTCAGCCATGTTGTGCTGTACATCCAGAAATCTGCTAGGCGTTGATACAACATTGACAGGCCATTGCATCAACACTCCACAGACACGAGCTCCGAAGGTTCGCGTTGATCCAAGGGCCCATCAATGATGCATCAAAGGCTGCCAAATTTCTGGATGCATCTCCGGGCTGATAAATGGATCGTCGATGCAGCATTGCTGGGACAATGCTTGCTTGGGAATGTTTCATCAAGATGCCTTGTTGGAGGGCTGACAAACGCCGACACCAAGAGCCATTGTTTCAAGGGCAGTTCACCTATACTGAGGGCCATTACTTCAATGGCCCCCTTGCATCAACGCTCATCAACATTGCATCAACGCCTGCCGAATTTCCGGATGCATCTTTCTGTGTTAGCGGGTGCATGCGAGACGTCACTTACATAGGGTTCATGGAAGCAGCGTCTCGCCGAGTACAAGTTCTGTCTATGTGTTATTGACCTGCCGTCCGAATACAGGCTATTGCATCACTTGGATTACCAATGTGACTTCAAAAACTGGCTGTTGGCACTTTGCACCTTGAATTCGAAGCTGACGGGGAGCTGTAGGCGTCGCCTGTCTCAACGCAATGTGAAGCAATGTAGGAACCCAGTTGCAGGATTGGGGGATGTGATGAAACCATAACGATTCGTAATGTATGCTATTAGTTTCTTGCGAATCATTTGTTGCTGAGAGATCCACAGAGCGGCAGTCTCCCCGTATTCTACAGCATGTACAGCGGCATGTGCAGCCCTAAGATTCAGGGATTATGTATTGATACTCAGGGAATGCACCTTAGTGTAAATTCACTCATCACCTAGTATGTACCTTTCAAACCGCCTCCAAATTTCATCCAAGCTGGCAGTTTCGGAGGGCAGGCGGCGGCCTTTTCCTTGGCTCTTTGGACCATTTCATCGAATGCGCGTGCGTTGGCTTTACGTTTCTCGTCCTCTTCGTTGTTTATTGCCGCCCTGGCAGCTCGTTCCGCCTCCATGCCGCCATCCATGAACGCCACAGCGAGGCGCCGATCCTTCGCGAAACATGGACTGTCGTCCAGGTATTTAAGTCCCGCCATGTTGGCAAGCATGTACTTTCGGTAGAACCTGAAGACGGGAATGAAATACAGGAAACGAGTCTAAGCTTGCTGCAGTGTGTGCTGTTTGCTCCCTGTGCGAGGGAAGACGCACTCTGGCGACGCTTTTCACGCTCAAAGAATCCCGGAAGCGGTGGCAAAGTGCCGGAAATGGAGTTTAGATTGACGAAATGCTTCAGAGATGCGACCTGAATGTATGTTATCAAAGCACCACCTTTTAGTTGGTCTCCTTATTTTTGGCCATGCGCTGCCGCTCCGTCCAGTGGAAGGAGCTGCAGCCGCACTGGCGTCCCGAGCGGCAGCTGCGCTGTCCACAGCTGCAGAGTTTTTCAGTCATAGCATTGTCCGCGAATGGATGAGGAGTAAAGAACAGAGAGGTCCATGCACCGGTTGCGCCCGCAGCGGGCGAGCGAATGCGCAGCCCTCGCAGGCCTGGCCCTCAGAATTACCTTTTGGTATTGACGACCGGATTGCCAACTAGACGTAGAAACGACAGACGGTCCATTGACGCCAGGATGTCCAAAGACTCGTTATCTTCTATCCGGTTGCTTGAAACATCCAGGGACGTAAGCGCCGGGCAGCCGGCCAAGGGCTCGACGTCCCGCCCCGTGCAGAGCTTGTTGGAAGAGACGTTGAGTGTTGACAATTTGGGAAGGCATGTGAGTTCGTCCACGCGTCTGATGTCGTTGTTGGATAGGTCGAGGGTGCACAAATCCGTGAGCCCTTCCAGACCCACGATCTCATGGATGATGTTGCTTCCCAGGTAGAGGCACCGAAGGTTGACCAAACAATGGAGGCCC